CCTTGTTGATGTTTTATGTAAACATGTTGTAGGAAAGCAATAAGCTGAAATAAGATCAAATCAATTGCATCTTGAACACTACCTTCCTGCAACTCTTTTACTAATAACTATCATTGTCCTGATTCCAATAATACCAGGTCACTGAATCATGTGTATTCTCAAGTTTACTGGTGAAATTTTCAATAAAAAGATGAAAATCTTTGAACATACCGCATTTGTTTAACATGCAAGCTTCTTGCTGTGAATTACACAATTTGATACAAATTCATCTGAATAAGTCGGAAATATTTGTGGATATTGACGATGTAAACAGCCCAGTAACAAAATAATGTTGCTATGGTATTTGTATCCGCATATGTTTTGTGGCATATCACTGTAAAAGTACGTTCTTTGGACGCATCGAGTCAAACTTGGATTTTCCGATAATGTAATTTAGAAATTCAGATTTAAAAGTCTGGTATGCTTCAGCAACCATCATTACAAATGCGTTTTTGCATTTTAGTTTTGCCGCTATTTAAATAAACTGTAACGACGCCTACATTTCCGGGCATGACTCATGATATACTATCATTATTATAAAAGTTAAACGCATGAGTAATCTGCTGTTGTCACTGATGAAGGACCCTTTACTTCAATATTCAAAATATCGCTGGCCAATTTTCGAATGTAGTTATTTACTTTTTAATGTTTGCCAGAAAATTAGTTTATAAAATCAAGTTAAGGATACGATTTTCATAGAAATTATGTATTTAATTTATTCATGTAGCCTAAAATATGATAAAAATATATTTGTTATAAATATTTTTTAAGAAAATCATAATAGTATGCATATTGCTTTAAGTCCCAGCTTTTAATTGCTAAAACAAAGAAAACCAAAAAAAATCATGCACAGAAATGGAAATGCCCTCTTTATATATATATATATATATATATATATATATATATATATATATATATATATATATATATATATATATATATATATATATATATATATATATATATATATATATATATATATGTATATATATATATATATATATATGTATATATATATATATATACAGTGTTTCAGTAAAATTTAGAACCGCTTACATTTTTTTTCAATACTCGACAGAAAAACTTGAATAGAAATTAAACGGATTAAGATTTTTCAATTATTTTCTCTAAATCAAGTAGATAAATTAATTGTTTATCAGATATGATTTTAATTGAAATAAAAAAATTGCTAATTGGATTTAAATTAAGACTAAGTAATTAGAGGTTATTTTCGAAGCTGATATAAATTATCTATTAAATTTACCACATGACTTTGAAATCACATATCATAAAAAGTTGTTAGTTTTTGAATTTGAAATTTTGTGTATTTGTTCACTACTATATAAAGGATATGTTACAAAAAAAATTTCTAAAAAATTCAAATTAGAAATAAAGTTAAGATAGTTGGTACTTCCAGACATTTTTGGTAAAAAAAATGGGTAAAAAAGCAGTAGATGATGCAACTAGATGGCAGATTGTTGCATTGAAACAAAATACAGATAAATCTGACACACAAATAGTAAAAGAGTTGGGTGTTTCACGAAAATGCGTCTCAACAACGATAAAAAACTATAAATTGAGAAAAAGTGTCAAAGATATGCCGCACTCTGGAAGACTAGAAAAGCTTAGTACCCGAGACAAAAACTTCTTCATACGAAAAGTTAATGCTAATAAAAATTACTCTCTGAGAATTAGCCGAGGATTTCAATAGCTCATTCAGAAATCATAGTGTTAGCTATGAAACGGTAAGAAAGGTTTTAAAGGAAAAAGGAATCATTTCGTACATTGCTGCTAGGAAGCCACTTTTGACAGTACGAAACCGGTTGAGACGACTGAAATGGTGCAGAGAACATGCCAGTTGGTCAGTGGAAAATTGGGCAAAGTGTATTTTCAGTGATGAATCCAATTTCGAGGTCATAAATCACAAAGGGCGAGTTTATGTCAAAAGAAAGAAATGGCAGAAGTATGACATGTTCATGGTATCACCAAGAATACAAGGCAGAGGAGGGTTGGCAGGAGTCTGGGTTTGCATCTCTCATAAAGGTATTGGTCTCTGCAATAGGTACACCGGTCGGATCAATCAATATAACTACAAAATAACTCTGGAGCAGCGTTTACTTCCATCAGCCCGTGAATTTTCTTAGAAGAGGCAAATGGATTTTTCAGCAAGATGGGGCTCTTGCACACACTGCCAAGTTAATAAAAGCCTGGTTTTCAGAGAAGAAGATCCAAGTAATGCCCTGGCCCGCCTGATTGCCCGATTTGATTTACTATATATATATAGTAATTAAAGTTAAGAAAAGAATGGTAAATAGTTAAACGTTATACTTAAACAATATAATGTTGGGTATACTCTTATAACGTCACTTTAACAGTATTTAATATAATTTATTTGCTTATTTATATTTATTAATTCTTAACTGAGATTTCTCAATTTAAGTTTAGGTAAAGTATTGAACAATAAATAAACTTCAAGTTGAAGCCATTAAGATCTAAGTTATTTTGATCTACTATAAACTAAAGTTACAATTTAGAAAATTTATATTTAATATAGTTTGACTATGGTTATTATGTAAAATTGTATCTATTAAAATTCTTTTTTTCTAAAATCTAGAAAATGTTTTCGAACACTAGAAGATTCTTAAAATTCTGGTATTGAATGAGTCAAGACAATTTACTACATAAACTCATAATACAAAAAATTGAGTGTAAATAGCAAAAGAGCAACAAAAATCTAATATATATTTACCCAGGTCACTAATTCCCTGATAGTGTAACGCTGATGCAACACTTATGTATTAATCATGCGGAAGTTATTTTATTTTAAAGCATGTTAATTACTTAAAAAATATCATGCGTCTAAACAAATTCATTTTTTATACACTTTATTAAATTATTGATTAAAATATTGTGCGGTGTAGTGGTTAATAAATTTGATCGTGGTGCCTGTGCTCAGGGTTTAATTTCTATTGGAGTCTATTTTCATTTTTTTTAGAATACTTTTAATTTTAATAAGCTTGGATTAGGTGGAAAAATTTTCCAAAAATTAATAAACGTCCCCCACCACCACCACCACCATCCTTTTATTAGGGACATGAGAGTAATATAGTTTATAAAGAAATTCTTTAATGAAATTTTTATAACTTAGAATATTATATTTTTAACATTTATTTTAAGTCATTTAAATTTTTAATTTTAATTCTTATAAACACTCATTAGGTATGCATAATATATATAAAAATTATTTGCCTTCACCAACTTCACTCCACTTCTCAAAATAATTACCATTTACCAGTGTAAAAGATTGCTAAAAACGGGTGCCACAGGCACCCATGAATTTTTTAGTTTTTTATATTTATCTTGAATGTGTTTAATTATAGGAGTTCTTTAAAATTAAGCTCGTTTTTTAAAATTTTTTTTATATTTTTTGGTGACTTTTGTTGTAATAGTTTATGGTAAATCTCACATGGAATATAGGTGGAAAACATCACATATTGGAAAAATCAAACATGCCACATATATTTAATCCTAAATTGGATAAAGCAGCGAATACCAGATAAATATAAAAGCTTTACTAGTTATTTTTAAATTACTATTTAAGTAAAAGACTTTTAATTATCATTGAAGCATTCAGACTTTCATTCATCTGGTATCGACTATTTTTATACCATTTGGATTAAAATAAATGTGCCACTTAAGATCTATAAAGTATATGGTATTTTCTACCTATATGAAATATATAATAAATATATCTTTATTTTTTATAAAAACTAAATATAGTTATTGATTATTATTTTACATTTTGGTAAAAAAATAAAACTCTTATCTCACTCCATCAAACTAAATAATACATGACAGCTACAGTGTCTTTCCTGAAACAGTCAAATAAATTTTTTAAAAAATTTGTCAAATCAGATTTTTGGTTTTAAAGAGTGTTATAACAAAGAACTGAGTAATTGTATGTGTTATACTTGTAAACAAATATGAATGAATAAAATGAAATAGAATGTAAATAATGAAGAAACTAGATCAAAAATAACAAACAATGAACAAACGTAAATAATATATAAATATATAATATAAAAATGAATAATGAACAAGCAATGATCATAAATCAAGTGGGTTCTATACACAAAAAAAAAAAAATTCTAGAAAATTTCAAAAGAAGTTTCTCTACAGCTTTCTTTTAAGTCATGCAAAAACCTGAAACCTAAACTAACTTTGGTTATGTTTTCTATTTAAAATGTGAAAACTATTCAAAAACTAAAATGTTTATTAACTATTAAAGAAAATGATGGTTATTTCTATTATCTTGGAAACTATAACAAATTATTTCTCTTTCCCTTAGAAAATTTTAAAAATCTAAAATGATTTCATATACAAAAAGATGGTGATAATAAGCTCAATAAAAAATAATAACCAAAAAATTTTGAACTTACATTTTCTTCAATACTCAATTTCAGTTTATCAAGTAGGTTTTGCATGTCATTATTCTAAATAAATTATTCAAATAAGTTAATTGTTGCCCACATATGGTTTTTCCCAATGGCAAGTTTTTATAAATTTATTATTTAAGTCATTTCTGCTATAAGATTTTATTGTTACTATAGTAATAGTAGGTGTTATTATTTTTTATTTATAATTTATTATTTAGTAAATAATAATATTCAGGGGAGTGTAGTTCTTAAAAAAAAAAAACTATTTTTTGTCTATTAAAAATCATCTTGTTTTGCTTTGCATTTATTTTTTAGTCAGTCAAAAAAAAATTGTTTAAATTTGTATTTTGTAAACAGTAATTGATTAATATTATCATTAATTTTTTGAGATAAAAAAATGCTTCCATCAAAAAAGGTCTAGCCTTATAATAAGTGGAATAATTTTTTAAAGTAAATACTAGTAAGCACTAAATTTTTAAAGTAAATATTATTTGGGGTGATAAGACTAAGTTTGTCTTCTTCTAGTCCCAGTCATGTAAATATTTGTTTTTATAAAATACGATTCTTAATTATTTTCTTATTGGAAAATACATATGCAGATGAGTACTAGAAATCTAATAAAACATTTGCTGCTAATAAGTATATTCATATTGTGGCTCCATTTTTAAACAGCTGACTATACTTAGACTCCTAGTATAGATTCATTCTAAAGTGGATGGCTCATTTCTTCTTTCTTCATCTAGGCTTTAGGTTACAATTTGAGGGTTCGATTTCCCATCACTTCTCAATATATTCAATTTATCTTTGATCAACTGCTTTGCAAGTTCCAAAGAATTTTAAAAATTGCTAATGTACAATTAATAACTTTTATGTAAAAACTCACCAATCAAGTTCATCACAATTGCACCAGTCTGTCTTATATTCAAAAACTTTGAAAAAGATTCAAGCGTATAAGTTATAAATAACTTTTGTGTAAATCAATACCCAAGCTATTAAACCATAAAGTTTTTTAACTCTACTACCACTACTACTATTCAACTCTACTACTGTTGAATAGTTTTGAAAGTATAGATTACAGTTCCGGAAAACACTTCTGCAAGACTACAACAGGTATACTGTCTTGACTACATTACTTTTTCTTATTTTTATCAATGATTTAAATGTCTTACTTATACTTTTTACAGCATATCACTTTTGCAGATGACACCAACTTGCTCCTAATTAACAAATGACTTTAAAAACTTAACAAAAAATATAAATTGCAATCTAGCTAATATTGTTCAATGCCCAATAAATTATTCCTTAACTCTGAAAAAACAGAAACTATTATACTTAAATCTGTTTAAACAAAAATATATAAGCAATTAAATCAGATTAAGTGGGCAGAAAAAAATTCAGTTAACTTTTATATCTTAGATCAAAATAAATTCTAATCTATCTTTTGCATTGCATCTTAAAAACATAGCATTGAAATTAAGCAGATAAAACAGCATGTTAGCTAAAATCCATCATTATGTTTATCATGAAACTTCGCCTAATATATATCATGATATTTTTCACTCTCATCTCAGATATGCTTGTCAAGTTTTGGGAAAATCTAAGCAGCTTGCAAGACTAAATTATCTCCAAATATAAAGCTCTAATGTTAATTTATTTCAATCATACTAATTTGAACTGAAGCATAATCTATTTTTAAATTCCTTAATTTGTGTGACCTTATTAAGCTATTAAATTGCCTATTTGTTTAAAAGCCTACCTCTTACATTTATCAACTTTTTTAAGTATAAGGAAAATTGTTACTATATTCTACAATCTGATTGCAACTTTAAGTTATCTATACCTAAATATAAAATTTTTCAATACAGCTATAAATCCATAAAACATAAAAGCATACAAACATGGAACAACCTTTCTAACTAAAATCTCTTAAATCATTTCTCAAAACTTAAAGCTGCTTTCTTTAACTATTTATTAGAAAAATTTTGTTTATAAACCTTATACTTTTCTACAACATAGTATTTATAACCCTAACTCTTACCTTCTATTTATCTAACATTTTTTCACTTTTCTGATTTGTTATAATACTAATTTTAATACCTTTTGTTAAATTTATTATTTTAATTTTTCTTAATCTGAAATATTTTCATTAGTATACTTTCCATCACTATTATTGTTATTATTACTATTATTATGTTTATCCTATTAAATAGTATTACTCTTACTGTTGTAATTATTGTTATGATTATTTTTTTACTGTTTTTTTTTTAATTATATTATTATTGTTGATGTTATTATTGTTACTATGATTGTTGTTGTTATTATTATTATTATTATTATTATTATTATTATTATTATTATTATTATTATTATTATTATTATTATTATTTATATTTCATTTTTAACAGTTTTTTAACAATATGAAAGAATATGATAGTAAAATAATATTTTACATTCTTCATTAAAAATAAATGTCTCACTTCAATTTCATCATATCTATTTATAATGTAACATGTATAATCTGTCTCTCTTTCATTGATTTTATCAACAGTTATTTCATAACCATATATAATGCCATCATTAGACCCTTTTGGATTCTTCCATTTTACATAGGTGTCAACAAATCCAAGATCATCTAGTTTTTGAAAAACTTCTAAACCTTCTGGTTTACTTGACCAACATTTCTTTTTAGTCAAATTATATCCGCTTCTTGAACGACATATCTTGTAATTTGCTAATAAATAAATAATTATAACTTTGCTAACTATATATAAATAAAATAATCTTAATTATGTCATATTTTATTAAAGTATTATTTTTATGTTTATATAATATAATTGCGGTAGTGGTGTAGTGGTAGAGCGCTCGCTTCATAAGCAAGAGGTTCCAAGTTCAACCCCCACCACGCCCCTGGTAGTATCAGGCTCAGGTTGTTTCTCTGCACAGCAGCCTTGTTTGTTAAGGTTCGTGTTTTAAAGTTATAGAGAGAGGGGGAGGGTTATAACCATAATTAAGTAGCCTCCTTGTCTGTTGTGGCCTTCTCAACCTTAAGGAAGTGAATTAACAATATATATATCTATATATATATATATATATATATATATATATATATATATATATATATATATATATATATATATATATATATATATATATATATATATATATATATATATATATATATATATATATATATATATATATATATATAGATAGATAGATAGATAGATAGATAGATATAGATATAGATATAGATATAGATATAGATATATATAATCTTTAAAAGTCATTTTCTTGTTATACGATAATAATAAAATATGTAAAATTCAATAAAAACGGTTACGTATAAACTTTTTAAAAATATAAATATTTGTTTTTATTTTAATATATTTTTTCGATATTTCGCTGATCTATTGTGATCAGCATCATCAGGTGTAATAAATAAAAATCGTTACAAAGAAAATTGTTGTAATAAAAACTAACCATTAAAAAGATAACATTAAAAAGAGCATAACAAAATACAAAATAGTTTTAAATGTTGACGTCAAATAATCTAACAAAAAATGGCCCCCAAATTTTTGTTGTCACGTAATCACCATCATCCTTATTTAAAACTTTTTCATCACTTCCAAGTTTTTGTCGAACTTTAGCTCTGTTTACTTCGAGTGACTCTCGATTTTCCGAATATGATACTCTGGAGCGATTGATATGGTTTTGGGATGTAACCAATCAAATGTACCCTGGCATGATTTGGAATGTTCGGTAGCACCTGAACTGGCTCATTTTCCTTTAACACTTTTTTTTTGGTGTTCAATACATCTCGATATAACTTTCTTCTTAGTTTCTCCAATGTATATAGAATTGCATGAACATTTTAGTTGGTAGACGCCTGGGTTTGTGTTTGGAGGAAGTATTGTCTTATTGTTGCATAAAATATTGTTTAAATTTGGAGTGGATGTAAATATAACTTTTATGTTTTGTTTTCTAAGTTCCTTTCTAAGTTTCTAAGTTTGGGACCAACGATTGGTATCCATGGTAGTTTTATAAATGGTTGGTTGTCAGTTGGTTTATAATTGGTATTTTTTAATTCGTTTTTTAGAAAGTTTCTGGCGATATTAATTAGATTGTTCTTGTTGTGCCCGTTTTCAACAAACATTTCTATTAGAAAATCAATTTCTTGTTTGAGATATTTTTGAGAACATAATCTCTTTGCACGACATAAAAATCCTTTGAAAACGCCAGTGATAATATTAGGATTGATGTTTGAGTTAGGTTTTAGTTGAATATTAGTTATTGCTTCTTTTCGATGTATTTGAAATTCATAAGCTCCATGCATTGTGTTTGTAATATTAACATCTAGAAAGTTAAGTTGTTTTTGGTGGTTTTTGAGTTCAACAGTGTATTTTATGGCAGGGTTTTGTTCGTTTGGGATATTTAGAAACATTTGTTGTTGTTTTATTGAGTTAAAGCAAGCGTGACAGTCGTCTACATATTTCACAAAAGTTTTTGGTTCACATGTACAAATAGTAGCTATATTAAGAGCTTTTCTTTCTATATTCTGTAGAAACGCTTCCGCCATAACAACCATTAAAGACAAACCTATAGGACCTGAATTAGGTATTATTCGGATTTTGTTTTCATATAGAAAATAGCAAATACTCAATGAAAGTTCTACTAATTGGTGTATGTCTACAAGAGATAGTTTAGTTCCAGTCTTTAAGTTGTCTATATCATTATTCAATATATCAATAATAACTAGAATAGCTTCGTCAATGGGTATGGACGGATATAAATTGACTACATCAAATGAAACTTGAACCTCATTGGGATCTATTTTCCATTGTCTGGCTTTATTAACAAAGCTATTGGAATTAATAAGTCTATTTTTGTTTTTATTTAATGTTGGTTGAATGATATTAACGAGGTATTCGGTTCCATAAGGTGGTGTGTTGATTGTTGACACAACAGGGCACATTGGGTAATCTTTTTCAGGTTTGTGTGCTTTAACCATTCCATATATTCTAGGTGGTACACAATCTGACGAATACATTTTAAAATATGTAGTTGTGTCTAGTTTATCCTCTTTTCTTAATTTAGATAATTGCTTTTGAAATTTGGTAGTAAGTGTGGGTGTCGGGTCATGATCAATAATTCTGCTATTTTTAATTGTTTCTTCTAATTTAAGAGAAATAGATCCCAATGAGGTTCAAGAATAGACTTATTAATTCCAATAGCTTTGTTAATGAAGCCAGACAATGGAAAATAGATCCCAATGTAGTTCAATTTAAGAAAATGACTTTTAAAGATTATATTACTACTTTTTACGGCAAAAAGATTTACGATGATACCAAAAAGTTATAAGATTTGAAGATACGAAATGCTAACGCAAAAAACCAATTCGTTTTTCTTCAAAAGTGCATATCAAATAACATAACTCCAAAATTATTTCAAATAAAAACTCCAATATATACTAAAAAAGCAAAGAACATCATGAAAGAATACAGAAATAAACTATTAGTTCATGCTCGTAACGAAGCAAAACACAGATTATACTCAAGTAAGAAATTAATTGATGAATTAAATATATTTCTTCATAATAAAGTAAGATTAAATGACTATGAGCTAATTAATAGTATAACTAACAAATCAAAAAATTACCATTATCTTAAGAAAAAAACAGAAATGAAAGAAAAATACAATAAATTACAAACTACATCGAATATAAAAAATACTCCTAGAATAAATCCTCCTAATCAAGTTATTAAACTTGCTATACCTAATTTAACTAATGTTATTTTGGATAAAGCAACTTTATTCTTTATTATGTGATATATCTTTAATATGTGGTATCTTTAATATGTGATATCTTTAATATGTGAATCTTTAATATATGTGATAATAAAACTGCAATTGCTCCTTCTTTGTTAACCTTTTCTATTTTAATATACAATTTTGCTTGAGGTTTCTGCCCCTAACTCCATGAAACATCTAACTCAAATTGTTCAAACTGAAGTAATAATTTATCAAAAAGACTATAAACTGTACATTCCTTGCAAACGGCATTAAAACATTGTTTTGTTGGTTTTTCACAAATAAAATTCAGAATCATTAAGTTTCCTGTTTTAATTGTAGAAAATACATTTAAACCCCACGAAAGTGAACCCTGCGAAAGTGATTCAAGAGCACAATGCATATTTTCATGCAACATGCAAACGTTATGAAGAATTGATGATACACATCGAACATAAATTGGTCTCAACTGACAAAATTTTGACAGATTTAATTTAATATCTGTATGGTTTAGCTTAAATTCTTCGAAAATTTCTTTCAGCATATATAACATGTGTCGGATTTGAAAACCTTTTTGTCTCATATCACTACAGAAGTATAATCTGCCATTCTGGGGGAAAGTCAACGTATTTTATCATTGTAATAAAAAATTTTAATAACCACTAAGTCTTTCTCCCTGAGATTGTTTGTTCATTTTTGAATTGAGTAAGTTTATGGTTGAGTTTTATTGAATAAACAACACAACAGTTCCTTCTTCTGAACTGGACTTTTGGGAAGAGAGCAGTTCAATTTTTTCATATGCAGGATTTAAGTCCTGTTATCTGAACATTAGAGGGACAAAAATTCTCTAATCTATGATCATCTCCATATTAATGAAAATTGTATCAATTCAGCATCAAGTAAATTTGAGTATGACATATTAACTTTTTAATTAAATTTACTGTATTTTTGTAATTATATCTTTATTAGTTTGTACAAGAATAATTACATTTTGTATTGTTTTATATTTACATTTTTGGAGCTTAAAAGAAATGGATATATGTGTGTGTGTTTGTGTGTGTGTGCGTGTGTGTGTAAAAGAACCTGACTTAGCTGAATGAAAAGTCAAGCAAAAATATTTTTTGGTTGATGAAACTAAAGATGATTGCTCCTTTGAGCACTGACCATGGTAATATTTCTAGAAAAGAGTAAAGGATGCAACCTTACAAAGATGGAAGAGAGGTTCAAGCTTAGAGAATCAAACAAATACAACTGGATTTACAATTCATAATAGGACATAGTCTAGAAGAGAACAAGTATTATTAGAAGAACCAATCCAAATATGATAACAGTATTCCATACAGAGACAAATTAAAAATTTGGAGAGGTAGAGAATGAAATCAGGAAAAAAAATGGCGTGTACAATAAAGCTTAGCCGTTGCTAACTTTGCAATTGATTGAATATATAATTTTCATGAGAGTTCAGTAGTGAATGATAATACAAGACATAATGAAAAGAATTCAGTGAGAAGATTGCTGTTCATTAATATAGGAATGTCGATGTTGCAGTAGTTATTTGCAGCAAATAGTTGAGTTTTGTTTGAGTGCAGATGGAAGATCAGATTTAAAATTGGCTGCCTGTTTTAACCAGTCAAAAGGAGAAGGTTTTTTGTCAAGGCAGGAGTATAAGGTACACTACTGGAAATGAAGAATAATGTTGGCCATTGGGAATTAATTTAATACTGTGATTAGAAAGAAATAATTTGAGAATCCCAAAAACTTTCTCAGATACATCTTATGAAGACCAGCATGCTAGACTTTATTGAATGCTTTAGATATGTCAAGAGCAATAGTCCTAACCTCACCTTCGCCATCTTTCAGTTAGAGCAGTTTCAGATTAAAATCCATATTGATTCTCAAAGACGTTATTAGACTCAAGATGGGATGTTAGAAACTTGTAGATTAAAACTCAAAGACCTTGCTAATGATAGAGGAAAGACTAGTCGGACAATAGTTTGAGGGGTCAAAATGTTCTCTTTAAAATTGGAACTTAATATTTACCATAAAATTCTTTCTGATCTTCATTTATAAAACATGGCGATAAAATTTTTTCGATTAATGTTACTAATGCACATTTGTTAATGTTCTTTTAAAAACTTTATTGTAAAGATTGCATAACTTGATTTCTAATTATTGCTGTATTTTTAGATTTTCATTTTAGACACAATTTGTTCTTGTTTAATTTTTGTTTATAAAAATTACTCAAAAATTTACTTTTATAATAAAAGTAATATAAATAATAAGACAAAAAATTTCATCGTCCTTGTGGGTTTTTTTATTTTAATTTTCATTAATTTATGAAAATTTTGAATAATATTACTAAAAATATAACTAATATTATGTATGTATTATGTAAAAGTATAGTTTCTATTATGTGTATATTAGTAATTAAAATAATAATTCAATTAAATTTAATATATAAAAGTCCGACTTTTGTTTTCAGTTAAATTCTAATTAAAAGTCCAAATTCAAATTTTAGTTGAATTTAGTATAAAAGTTCAAATTCATTTTTTAATTAAAATCGGGGCACACATATAGTCTAAATTCATCTTCCAGTTGAATTCAGGACTTAAAAAGTTAACTTCACCATCCTCGATTATGATTAGATATAGTAGCTACACAAGATAATGAAAACGATGGAGTAGAATGAGGCTTGATTTCAAACTGATAAGAAGGAGTAAAAGTTTCCATACCTGCCTGGATCCAGAAGATTACTTATGAGATGCATTTATCAGTGAAGAGACAAAAGATATCAACCCAAGGTCTGTCACAAAGAAAACCATAAATATTATAACATTGGCAGAAGGATAAATAAAAAAAAGATTGGTAAATTTGATCAGAAACTACATTTAAAAGAGAGTATTTTTGATAAGGAGAAGAACAATAATGAACAAAGAGTAAGGCGGTTGGGAGAAAAGGTGCTAAGTGAAAGCACATAAAAACATTCTGAGCAACTATGGCTTTCACTCCCAATCAGCAACAGTAAAAAGTTACTGTTGCTGATTGGGAGTGAAATATAGTAATTTTTATAATTTAGTAAGAGACAAAATCAAAAATGATTTTTTAGCGATTTTTTAGCGATAAAATTTTTTGAAGAAAATTTAGAAAATGATAAGTGCAATTTGACACTGACAACATAAACTCATTAATTTTACACAAGCCCATAAATTCTAAATAAAACATTAATTTTACATAAGCCCATAAATTCTAAATAAATTCTAGCTAAACCATTATTGCTTATTTTTCAACTTTCAATTAATCTATCTGAATTACTTTTATTATTCCTACTTGTATTATAATTATTATTATTACTATCTCCATCTTATTTTTATTTATTTTGACAGGTGTTTACTTTATATTAGTACAAATTACTATTTGTAAATATCCTTGATGTAACAACTTTATTCAGAATATATTTGATTTGATTTGATTTGATTTGAATTACTAGAATCTTGGCAAATATTAATGTAATTCCATTAAATAAGAATGCAGAACAGATTCAACAAATTATCCTTCAGTCTCTCGCTTCTGTTATTTGTAAAACTTGAGAAAACAATAAGATTACTATATTATCTGCTTGTCAACATGGATTCTTTATAAATAAATCAAATGTTATACTTGATTTATTTATAATTAATAATGGTAGTTAATGAATACTAAAGTGTTATACAACTCCAAAGCAAAATTTTTAAAAGTTTTTTTGAATTCTTTAAAAAATATTACGTGATGATTAAAAAATAATTTTTTTACTAAATATATGAAAAATACTTTAAAGGTTAAATACTTTGTACATGCACGTGCAATACCAAGAAGTTTTACTATTGGAGTCGGAGTCACAATTTTGTTTAGTGACTCTGACTCCGCTAAAAATATTGCAACTCTGATTCTACGACTAAAACCGCCAAAAATGGGTTGTTTTAGGAGTGTCTGATTGAATTCCTGTCACTTGCAGTGTTCCTCAGAGTTCTAATTAGGGACTAACTTTATTTATTACATAATGATTTGTCTGATAAAATAAATGTTTGTAAAATGCATGTTGATGATACAAGATACTTGCCATAATTAAAAAATAGACTGTGAACAGCTTTAGAGTGATGTTAATTGGATGACAGTAAAAAACTATAAGTTAATGCAACTCAAAAGTAAAAAACTATAGTTCTCAACTCAAAAGTAAAAAACTATAGTTAATGCAACTCAATAAAAGCAAATGAAAAGTAATGCATTTTCTATGGACTCTTTCTATGGTTATGGACATTTTCTATGTTTTTTTATTTTATATGTTATGGACATTTTCTATGGTTCTAACTAACTAAAATTTGGTTACTATATGAATATTAACAACAAGATATTTGTTTTTATTTACAATCTTACAACAAATTAATAATAAATCATGATAAAATATTATTATTGCAAATAAGTGTAAGTAACAGGTTAAGGCGTTACTCACATAGAAACCTGACCAAAGTAGAGAAACTAGACAAAAATAACAATAATAATAGTAATGATAATAATCAAAGCAAACAGTAATAATAAATAAGCTAATATAAAAATAATAAGTATAATAATAAAACAACAAAACAATATGAAGTATTATACTAGTAACAAAAATGAAAAATAAAAATGAGTATTATTTGTAGAAATAAAAAAAATAAAAATTTCAAAATAAAAAAAAGTTATAACTGCTAATAAAATAGATCTTGTTTTAAATTAAAAAACTGGATAATCGTAGAATAGGAGGAAGCTTAATTCAAAAGTTTAAAATTGATAAAGGTGTTGTTATCATTAATTGGCACACTAAACCTATTATTTGTACAGCTTGTGTTGGCACACTAAACCTATTATTACAGCTCGATGTGGTATTTTGTGGTAGAACAGTTTGTACAAGAATTCAATAAATGTAAAAGTTAAGAAAAATATTTTGATTTCTAATTTTGTCTGTTTTTTAACTTTTATTATTATTTTATTATTATCTCAAAGTAATAATTTTAAATATTTCCTTCCTTTTATATTTATTTTCTATTTCTTCACCAATTTACTTTATTAGTTTATTTAGTTTACTCAAACTAGTTTATTTTGTTTATTTTACTATTCTCTTACTTTCGTGTTATTTTGTAATATTGAATGACCTCAAACTGAGAAATAAGCTTAGGGTAACATCAACTGAACAAGATTTTTAATATCAACTATCTGATCTAAAATTTCATGATCAAGTCAAAAAAAGAGCCAAGCAAAGCTAATTAAATGCTTTAAATTCTCAAAAATACATTTATATCTGGAAAAGGAATATGGAGAGGTTTTATAAAACTTATGTGCATCCACATTTAGAGTACACAGTGTCAACATGGTCACCTTTGAGCAATTTCCTGTGAAACATTAATTTATTTTTTTTAATTCAACCCTAAGTCTGTTATTTTGCTGGTTTTTACACCACTCAAAGATTTTAGTTATGAATATCCCCAAAATTTTATCATCTAATTACAAATGGTTTCAAAGATATAACAATTTTTACTTTGCCTTGAACCAACAACAATCTGCCATTTTAAAAAATGGTTTTGCTCTTTGTTTCTCTTCTGTGTGCAATAGAAAGCTGAAAATAGGTATACTTATTTTGAGCCAGGGAATCCAATAAAACAACTTAAAATATTTAAAAATAAAAAACAACTAAAATTTATTGTTTATAAAAAACAATAATCTTTTTTTTTTTTTTTTTTAAATATGTCATCCTGAATAGTTTAGTTAGAGTTGTTATAAATAAATGGAGAGTGGTCCTGAAAAGAAAAAAAAAGGTCAAATTTACTTAAATTTGTTACTTATAAAACAGGAGTTATAAAAAATCTAAGGGAAAAAAAAGTGGCACTTTTGATAGTTATATACTTATAGGTGCTTAATACAGGAAAGTTTATGTTTATTAGTTTTTGGCCCATCCTGAGTTTATTAAGTTCCCTCTCCTCGTTTATTATATATACTTGTTATGAACAAAGAAACTTTATCTCAAAACTAGAACAAAAATTTTGAGCCATTATTTTCTAATTTTTAAAACCATTATAGGTATTATAAATTAAAAAATATGAACTCAATTGTAAAAACAAAAATAAAAATTCCCACCCACCGGTTTATTAAGATTTTTTTTTTTTGCAATTTTTTCTCAACCCTAAACTCTAAAACAAAGTTTGCAACTCTCTTTCAACCCTAAACTCCAAAACAGAAACCTTGTTAAACAAGGCTGTACAGAGAAACAAGGTGTTACTTCTGTGATAAGTTGATTAAACCTTAAACCTATTGATTATGAGAAATAAGGAAAGAAAAGTAAACTTTAGTAAAAATTGTACAAATTTTACTAAATTTCTCTCTAGTAGACACATTTTTTTTTTATTGAACAACTGTCACTTTAAGCATGATAACTAGATACAATTACTCTTTTTTTTGTATAACTCTGTTATATTGAAGTGCATATAAAGAAAACAGCTCCTCATTCCTATCCTAAATTATTCGAAGTGAGGAAGTAAATAATAGGAGAGAAAACTAGAAGAAAACATACCTCCACTAGCTCTTAAATAAACCGAGGTGCTTAAAACAAAAAAAGATGGGACCTAACATTAATTATAAATAAATTCTTCCTACTCTAAAATTTGTACAATAATTAAAAAATAATTAAATAAATTTGAAAACTCAAAATCATTGCTCAAATATTGTTGATCATTTTTAATTTTTTAAGTAACAAAAGGAATAAAAAAGTAAAGCATGTTAGATATGAAAAAACCTTACTAAATGCAGCTTCCTGATGACTTGGTCTTCCACACTCATCTAAATTGTATATGTATACATATCTTTATAAATGAGTTATGTAAAAAATTTAAAAGTTACAACTAAAACTTACTTTAAAAAGAGTTCATCATAATTACTTTTATTGATAAAATGTCACATATTTCACATAGTTGCATAGAGGTCAACAGAAGTTTTTTAAATAATAAAATTATCATTAAATGTGATGTTATCACAGTAGTTAAAAAGTTAAATAAAGTTTTAATGTTTAATTAGTGTTACCACACTAATTAAAAAGCAAAATAAAGTTTTAATGTTTTATAAAAACTAAATAACTAATGTCAAAAGGATTGCTATAAATAATTACTTTAGAATAACATAGCATAATAGAATAAATAAAATAAAATAAAAAATCTTGCTTGTTGCACATAAAATTTTCTAATTAATTGTCAAAATTATAACTGTCAACATTAAAACTGCCCATTACTTGATATTTAGCAATGATTTATTATAAAAAATGAAAAAAACTGGCTTTTTGATTTTTTCTGGTTTCACTAATCTAGAATCACCAAGTATTTTGTTATTTGGTTAGCTGGTTATTTATGATCACTTATTCTGATATTGAATTTTTTATTAATTATTCCTAGAATTTAACAGATTAATGTAAAAGTCCCCCATAGATAATTTTATTTCAAATAAATACTAATAAAAATAGGGTCAATGTAATATACTAATGACCACGTATATACAATATTAATAAATTATTATCAGCTCAATGTCAATCAAATCAAATAAAATAAGTAAATCAAATAAAATAAACTTTGAACTCTATAATACAGAAACTTCAAACTTTTAAAAAAAGTTTAAATTATTCTTATATGAATTTTTAAAAAAATTTTTAAAATTAATCTTTATCTAAAACAACGCTATTTATGGGAACTCAATTTTTACATACACATTTAATTAGAAATTTCAAAAATCAAAAGCTATAAAAATTTGAATTATGGGTAGCATCCAATTATACATCAGCGCATTTTCTAATGGAACAATCAAAAGCTATCAATCAATCAAAAGTTTAGTATGAATTATAAATAAGTTTAAAAAATTACAACTTTCAAAGAATTTACTCTCTTTTTTTTATTAAAAATTAAAATTAAACAGTTAAATAAAACGAATTTCAATTCTTACTCTTTAGCAGCTTTATTTCTAAACTCTTTAAGTTAAAAAAAATCAAAGTTGACCTTTTTGCAAATTAAGCTAATTTACATGTCTATAAACGTTATTGAATAGATATTTGATTTAGACAAATATAATTTAAGAGATAGTCGATTTGACTATCTCTTATTCTGCATCTCTCCCTAACACTCAATTTCTTTTTTTTTTTTAAACAAAAGCATTGACCATCACAAGTTAATAATAATTAATATTATATTATGTTACAGAGATATTTTTTTGTTTAAAATTTTTTGAAAATTTTATGCTTTGGGGAAGGGGTTAATTTTGTAATAGATAATGTGTTTGTACACAAAAGGGGGAGGGGTTTATTAAGTACATACAGATGCATGAACAGTGGGAAAGGTTCTTAAATCAGTGGTTTAACTGCATACCTACTTCATGGATGCCCCTAATGTAAATGTTTCTGTCTGCAGAGTTCATGTTAATGAATTTTCAAGTTACACACCAGAAACATATGTAATTATATTTTTGATACCTACATTTTTGGCCTCATAATCTATGTATCAAAATACATCGAATCGCTTTGGAAAACTTTATTTAGTGGATTTTCAAAGAACAAATTTTACTATAGTTTTTTTCAAAAAAGAGAATACACTTGCAAGCTTTTAGTCTAAGAGCCTAAGGCTGCCAGACCTCAGACAATTATCATGGTGACAACCCTAGCCAGACAAGCATATATGTTAGCAATATTGTTAGTTTTATATCTAAAAACATTCTAGCAAAAACCATAGTTACGTAACTTAACTGGAAATAATTACTGTTTGATTGTGCCAATAAGTACTGGTTTCTAATACTTCTAATGATATTTAATAACAGTTAGAATCTAAGATAAAAATTGTAATAAAAAATGAAGTTAAAAAAAATGGTTTTAATAGCTATTTTGTTCAAAATAAAAACAAAAAACAAAATAGTTATTAAAACCATTTTTTAACTTCATTTTTTATTACAATTTTACTGTTATTAAGTGCTAATTGAAACCAGTACTTTTTCAGATGCAATCAAACTTTTAGTTAAGTTATATAACTAAAGTTTTTGTTTGAACGTTTTTAAATATAAAACTAATAATATTGCTAACATATGTTTGTCTGGAAGTTAGAACTGTAGAAAGTGTCTGGCTAATGACTAAACATTTTAAAACTTTTTTCAACCTTTATACTATAACATAATTACAGTTACAATTTTTCGAAGTTTAACAGTGTCTGGCAAGGGGTTGCCTCCATGATAAGTGTCTGGCAATGGATGGTATGATTACTAATACTACTAGGAAGAAAATTGTAAGAAAATTACGCTTTATAAATCAACATAGTTTAGCCCAGTATTTTAAACACCTTTAGTATCTGTAATTAGCCAAAGCCACCATGATCTAAAAAACATAGATGACCATCCTTCCTACTTGTGTTAGAAACACACGCTGAGAAAATAACATAGGTCTGGCGGCCATGGGCTCTGGTTCTATTTATATACCAATTACTAACACTCCTTTTGTCAAAGTTGCCAACACATGGGTAATACAGACAGTTAAAGAAGCAATAAATAAAAAAAAAACTTTGTGGGCTGCTGGGCGCTTTAACCATGAAATCCTTGGTAAAAAATATCACGAATCATGCAAACAGGTCATGAAAGAAGTTAAAAAGCTAGATTACGAATCAAAATTAGTCTCAAAGAATAACCCAAAATTGATTTATGCCTATATTAACCAAATGCAAAAAGTTAAACATCAAATACAAGTTTTAGAGGACATTTGATGAGGAGGAAGATGTCCAATTTTAAATGACAGATTTAAAATCAAGGACAGAAGTGACATGGGCAACGCAGTTTATGGCACATGACAAAGTACAGAAAAAACTTGAAAATCTTGATGGGAACAACATGATGGGCATCAACAGCGTCCATTCAAGTCTACTCAAAATGTGTGCAGCAACATTTTCTGTCCCACTTACGCTTATTTTTCAGCCTTCACTTTCTAAAGTTTAGGTGCCAGATGACTGAAAGTGTTCAAATATAACACCGATATTCAAAAATGGCTCCAAACTAAAAGCATCTAATTACAGACTAGTATCACTCATTAGTATCCCTAGTGAAGTTATGGAGCATTTCATTTGATACTAGATTATAAATCATTGTATTATAAACGATCTTACATTAAAAAAACACGGTTTTGTTTTCAAAAAGCTGTGCTTGACAAACTTCTGGAAACACTTGATCTTTTAACAGAAGCTATGTACCAGGGATACGCTACAACAAAATCTTCGCAAATCTAGCTAAAGCCCTTGACAGAATTCTACACAATAGATTTCTCTATAAAGTTCAAAACTACGGAATTAAAAAAGAGATTCATGCATTGATTAAACCATGGCTCTCAGGAAGGCAGGAGAGAGTCGTAATCGGAGAGGGTATATCAAATTGGAAAAATGTTATTAGTGGCGTACCACAAGGTTCAATCTAAGGTCTATTACTGTTTGTTCTGTACATTAATGATCTTCCAGACATATTAGAACATCACATCAAGCTCTAAGATGATGACAGCAAAATTATTAGCATCATAAAATCCAACCAAGACTCTGAGAGTCTGCAAAGATACTTAGACAAAGCCATTGAATGGTCACACTGCTGGCTCATAACCATCAATACTGAAAAGTGCAAAGTTGTGCATACTGGCCGATGAAAAAAAGTATCAAAACAAGGCTATTTCTTTCCAGGACCAGATGGCCTGCTATTTGCAATTGAAGTTATCCATTTAGAAAAAGATCTTGGAGTTCTTATCTCAGATGATCTTAAACATAATGCTCAAGTTTCAAAAGCTGCGGTGAATGCTAACCGCTCCTTAGGGAGGCTGAAAAAAACTTTTCGCAGCTGTTGTATTTCAATGTGGAAAGAACTGTACACACATATATTCGCCCTCACCTAGAGTATGCTATCAAAGTGTGATCACCATACCAACGGGCAGACATAGAAGTGCTGAAAAAAGTTCAAAACTGTGCTACAAAAACCATTTCTTTGATTAAGCATTGCACTGCCAAGCAGCAAAGAACCATACTATGTTTTATGACACTTGAAGAAAGAAGAATAAAAGGTGATTTAATTCTGATGTTCAAGTTCATGCGTGAAATCAATGAAATAAACTTTCACATACTATTCAATTGTCCTTCTTCGTCAAAGTATATTATGCATGGTCATAATCAAAGACTTGCACAGCAAAGAGTACTCAATTGCATGCCAAGAGAGAAATTCTTCACAAACCATGTTGTTTCGCAGTGGAATACCCTGCTGCAAATAGTAATTGACGTGACTTTGGTTATAGAGTGGTTCTGATAATAACATTACTTGGAATCTACATATTGATTTTCTCAAAAATATCTCAAAGTTACAGAGTCTTATATAAATCCAGATTATCTAGACAAAAAAACCTTAACTCAACTTTATTACTCATTTCATTCCCTCAGTATTATCTTGTTCTATCAAAAAATGTAATAAATAAAATACTCTATCTAATATCTAAAAAAAATACAAAAAAAAATTATAAATAAGTACAATGTTCTATGTAATATAATATATTATATCAGGTAGAAAATAATATTTATTTATATTGATATATTACATTGTATTTATTTGAGATATTAGATAGAACATTTTATTTATTACATTTGTATATAGAACAAGATAATACTGAGGGAACGATTTATTCACACCTATATAAATTATACTTATTAAACAATTTTTTATATGGTTTACTTAAGAAATATTACTGCATTAGATTATTTAGATTATAAAACATTTAGATCAAAAACCAACTAGTAAATGTAATAGATAATTATAATAAGTTATTCCAAAGAACAAGCAAGCGACAATCAGATTTTTTAAAATATATTTGAAACAATTCTGTAGGCTATAACAAAATATAGACATTTTCTAAGAAAACTTAGCTATCATCTAGGTTACATTATTAAGTAAATAAACTATTTTGATATCTTGTGGCACATTTTTAAATCAGCAAAATGACCTCTCTAAACCCCCTGGCTCCACAGTGGCTGGCTATGCTGTACATGGGTAAAGATGGGCCAGATAACAGATAGATTTTTTTTCATAAAATGATCATGGTCACATCATTATTTTAAAAATTTAAGTTTTTACATTATAACTTTTTTTAAGTCTTGAGTTTAAAAAATCTTTTTTTAGTTTTACATCTAATTATAAATTAAAATATTTTACATTTTCTTATAATATAGTTATATAGATTTTATATTTTTAGTTCTGTTTTTATCATTTTTTTATTAGTTTGCTTACGGTTGAAACATGGTTTAAGTTTAGTAAATTTTCATTATTTTTGCGACCAAAACAAATATATTTATTATTTGTACTCTCTGCTTTTACAAACCTTTATACAACTTACTTACATACACAAAGCCTTTCTAGAGCGTAGTTATAGATGACAATAAATTATAACAATTATCTACTACAACATCTCACTAAAAACTAACGCTCTTAGGTAAATAAATACAATGACTTTCTATTTTTTCAAATAAACCGTCTAGTCTATAGATCGCTTCTATACTGCCATCTTTATCATTGTTTACATGTCTCTTCAATATACACATTTAGTCTATAGCATCGCTTCTATACCGCCATCTTCATCATCGTTTACATGTCTCTTCAATCTCTTTGATATAAGAGTTATGAATTTTAAAATGAAGTTAAAATACTATTATAAAATACTATTATAAAATATCTATTTTGCTTTCACTCTCTATCCTCACTTTTTCATGATGTGTTCTTTTTTTTGGTTCAATTTTAAATTTGGAACGCACATATGCGTCTCGTACATGTCATGGTACACCATAAATTTAAATATTTATTTTTGTGATTATGATAGTTACATAGACTTTCCAAAATGTAGAAGTTAAAACCTGAAGGTAGCCTATTAATTTTTTTATGAATTACAGAGATCGTTGATGAAACACATTTCTCTTTAGTCGCCTCCAACACAAACACTCTTTTGTGATTTAACACATCTTACAAGTTTATCCCCAAAGTTTTACTTGAGATTGTGACTGTTTTACTTGGCAATCCAATTACCAACGTTCTTTGCAGTAACTCTTCATTTTCAATATTGGCTAATCTTATAAGTTTATGCCATTAATATATGTTTAGGCTGTATTTACATCAACGGGTTTGCCACTTCTTTTAATCTCCAATCCCTGAACAGCTCGTAAACATCAAAACTATCCTATGCATCCAAATGAGCTTTTTAATATTCGCAACAGAAGTTTTTTTGTTATAGCAATAAGTTGAATGTATTTTTTTTAAAGAAACAAAAAAATTATCATATGCAGATCTCCCATTTTAGCGCTACTCTATTAAATAATGTAACTTTCTAATAAAAAAGCGAGTTAGATACTATTTCTATGAGGCTTCGCAAAATCTAGTCCAAATATAAAATGATAATAGTTTAACTATTTCAAAACATTAATGGTTTGACTATTTTCACGTTAATGGTTTGACTATTTCAAAAAATACACATATATTCTCTATAGGATATAACTAGGACCACTATACTGCTCATAGTGGTCCTAGTTATGATAAAATCATAACTACAATTACTATGAGCAGAATTAGTGATAAGTTTGGATCCAAAGCTTTGCTGACACAAGCTTTGACTTGATCATAACAACCTTTTCTTTAGAGTTTTCTTTAATTTTAAAAATTCAGATAAACTTGGCTCTAATTAATAGCTTAAATTAAAAATAATTGGCTCAATTATTTTTAACTTGCTAAAATGTTTTGATTGCTATACCATGCAACCAAAACACTTTTTTATAATAATTAATACTAAAATGCGGTAGTGGTGTAGTGGTAGAGCGCTCGCTTCATAAACGAGTGGTTCCGAGTTCGATTCCCACCACGTCCCTGGTAGTACCGCGCTCAACTCGTTTCTCCGCGCAGAGGCCTTGTTCATCAAGGTTCGTGTTTCGGAGTTATAGAGTTGAGAGAGGGTTATAGCCACAAATAAGTAGCCTCTTTGTCTGTAGTGGCCGTCTCGGCCTTGAGGAGGTGAATTAAAATAAAAAAAAAAAAAAAAAAAATGTTTGTACAACAATGTGCAGATAAAAAATAAAACTTAATTTTTATTATATGTAATATTTCTAATGTTTACTTTTAGTTTATGTTATGTATTCTAATAATAAACTAATTCATTCTATTAATGATTTAATCTAGAAAATAAACAGAAGTAGAAAATAAAAATTAATCACTTTTTGCTGTTAAGATACTTAAATAAAACAACTTATTGACTCAATAAAATAATTTTTAAAATGGAAATCACCTCTATATTCGTATTGAGTAAATGCGTTTACAACTGAGTTACCACGAATAGCTGTGCACAGTATACATCCTTTATGAGGTTGTTGTACATGGTCCAAAAGTAATTGACTAAAATAACCCATTACACCATTGTCTAGGTAATAATAATCATTTTTTGTAATTGCATTTGGTTTTACATCTTTGCAGTAGTGTGATTGTTTTTTAAGCATTTTTTCGCAGGATATATAAGATGATTCTTCATGCCAAACATCAGGATGGAATGAACGACACACTTTCCATAAAAACTTTGCTTCCAGATTTGTTTTGCACTTATAAACTAATCTTCCCTCTCCAAGTGTGTAATTAGTATTTTTTGGCATACTATTTGGATCAATTACTAGTAGCTGAACAAAATTATAAATTCAATTGATATACAAAAAGCAACTATGTTTAAAACTAAAAATAACAAAAACAACATAAAAAAAAACATAAAATAACTACAACAACAACAACAAAAAAACAAAAAAACAGATACATATAGTTTTGAAATACATTGCAAAAATTCAATCACAAACGTTCAATTTAAACCAAATTCATGCCATGAACCAAAAATTACCAATAGTATCTTTATTGGTCTCATCAATAGAGCATTTGTGCACAGTAAATAATATTGATGACGAGTTGTTGTTTCTTACAGATGTATTAGTAAAAAACGGCTATGATAAGAAAAGTCTGAAAAAATAGTAGGCTATGAATAAAAGTGTTAGTTTTCGTGAGACCTTTTTTGTTGACAAAAAAGATCTCAACAAAAAAATATTAATAGATTAGAAAAAGTGTTTATAAATGTGCTCTTGTTATATTGGTGAAACAGGGCTAAATATATTGTCTCAGATATGCCAACATCAAACAATTTCACAACACATTTAACACCGATCCTGAAAATGCCAAACTAGCTGACCCAAGAACACTACTGAAACACTTGTATAAAGAACAACAATATTTTAATTCTTATAAGTTTTTCTACTCTAAAATAAACCAAGTAAATAATCAAAACACAACATTCTCTGCAGCCATAATATAAACAGAATATATTATAATATAAACAAGGTTCTTCATGTATCTTCTTCTATAAGTCGTAATGGTCGACGAATTACTCTTGAGGATCTATGTGTGTCTTTTCCAGGTGTTATTAATAACAACGGATTGATCAGACAAGCATCATTGACAAGATTTTCAGGTAGTGGAGGTTGATAAAGGGGAGGCTGATTAGGAAAGCTTTCAGGATTGGTATTGGTAAGTCCATATTTCTCAGGTGTTAATGGTTTATAGGGGTAATACTTAATGGTTTATAGGAGTCTGGCAATACTTTTTCCGAAGTTTTGATGGATAAATTGTGTTGTCTAGTAGCAATCTCAATAGACTTCATTATGGTTCCATTATACTTTTTGGCTTGTCCATTCTCTTGTGGATTATATGCTGTAGTATGACTTGTCGCAATACCTTTCTCTAGTAAGTATTGTTTTAATTCTTTACTGATGAAGGCTGAACCTCTATCGGAATGGATGTAACTTGGCAAACCAAAAACCGAGAATACTTGTGACAAATACTTAATTACAGTCTGAGCTGAAATATCAGGGCACTGGATTGCAAAAGGAAAACGAGAATACTCATCAATTATGGTTAAAAAATACTTGTTATTAGTTTTCGAAGGAAGAGGTCCTTTAAAATCTAAGTTCAAACGTTCCAGTGGTTGTGTCGCCTTTATCAAATTAGATTTTAGTGGTTTGAAGTATCTAGGCTTACATTCACAACATAGTTCGCACTGATTAGTTATTCCTTTAACATCATCAATTGAGAAAGGTAAATTACGGTTTTTAATAAAAGCATAAAACCTAGTTACTCCAGGATGACAGAGTGATTGATGAAGCTGAATTAAGTTGTTAGTGTTTATTGCTGAGCATTGTATTCTAGAAAATGTGTCAGCTAGAATATTTAGTTTCCCTTTCCTGTAAAAAATGTCATAATTATAGCACGATAGTTCAATTTTTCATCGATAAATTTTATCATTTTTAATCTTTGATTTATGTTGCTTTTCAAAGATATAGGACACAGGTTGCTGATCGGTAATAAATTTAAAATGGCGTCCAGTAAGGTAGTGTTCCCAATGCCTGACTGCTTCTATTATTGCGCAAGCCTCTTTCTCAATAGAGAGATGTTTGAGTTCAGATTTTTGAAGTAATCTTGAAAAGAAAGCTACAGGGTGGCCATTTTGATTAAGAACTGCAGCTATACCAATGTCAGATGCACCCGTTTCTACTTCAAATGGAACATTTTCATCGACATAATCTGTCACAGTATTTGCAGTATCTTGTTTAAGTTGATTGAAATCATTTACACACTGATGACCTAATGGGTACTTGGTGTTTTTGGTAAGAGCATCATGAGGAGGTGGCATCTCTTTCATAGGTCGAAGACGACTGGGATCTGGTTTGAGCTTTCCTTCTTCTATAAGATAACCAAGAATGCAAATTTTATCTTGGGAAAAGCTACATTTACCACGATTATAAGTAAGATTTATATTTTCAGCTGACTTGAGAAATTTTTCCAGATTAATATCATGCTTCTCTTGGGTTTTACCACATATTGTCACATTATCTAGATAAGCATAAGTATCTAAAAGTCTTTCTTTTTCTATAAATTTGTTTATGGTACGTTGAAAACAAGCAACGCCATTTTCAATTCCAAAAGGCATTCGCTTAAATTGGAACAACCTCCAATTTGCTTCAAAAGCTGTAAATTTTCTATCACTTTTGGTAATTGGAATTTGATGGTAGGCTGATTTCAAATCAACTGTACTAAATATTTTGTATTGAGCAATTTTGTTTACTAGATCATCAATCCTTGGTAATGAGTAAGCGTCTTGTTGAGTATACTTATTTATTGTTTGACTGTAGTCAATAACTAATCTTTTCTTAGAGCGTTCTCCTTTAGTTACAACTACCTGAGCTCTCCAGGGAGAATTTCCATGTTCCTCTTTAAGCATACGTTGCACTTCCATTTCAATGAATAATTGGTCTTCTTTGCTATATCGACGAGATTTTGAAGCTATTGGTTTACAGTTAGGGGATAAACTGCCAAATAAACTAAGAGAAGATACATTCAACTTCGACAAACCACAAATTAATAGTGGGGGTCTTTTTCCTTCAAACTTAAGGGTTACAGCTTTGTGTTGTTTTTGAAAATCGAGACCTTGATTAACATCCATGCATAACTCATTTAAGATGTTAAGTTTTACTAGTTTATAATGCTAATTTTTTATTGAAATATTGACAAAAACCACTCGACAAATTGTACTAGATAAAGATGATGAAGCCATAGATACCTGTTTTTGGTTTTGTCTATGAACTGTTAGGTTTAGTTTTTGTACCAATTTTTTTAACAACCTGTGAATTTATCCCTGTTATAAATGCATCTCTAATATATTCATCACAATATTCAATAGCAGACACCTGTTTAAAATTACATTCTTTTGCTAAAACTTTAAGAGCGTGTAAATACTCATCAAAACTTTCTCCTGGCTGTTGCTTACGAGTCGTGCATAAACCTCATTTGATGGTTTGATGTACACAGATTATAAAGCTTGTATTGCTGCTTCATAATTTGGACATTCGCTTATTATTTCATAAACATCGGGCACAACAAAATTAGTTAGGATTTTTAACTTATTGAGTTCTTGAGCAAATTTATCAAGATAATATTCAAATGCTCTGAGTCAATGTTTAAATAATTTTGTTGCAGAAGGTGAGTTTGGTAATGTATCCAAGCGAGAGCTCTATCTATATTTTATTTTGATAAGAGTAAAAAATTGAAACACTTGTATAAAGAACAACAATATTTTAACTCTTATAAGTTTTTCTACTCTAAAATAAACAAAGTAAATAATCAAAACACAACAGCTATTATATGGGGTGATAGCGTACACATCAAGATACCCTGTGATGGAAATTTTATAATCTTTTAAATTTTCCAGCGGAAGATAATTTAATATTTAATGTTCAAATTAATTGAAATTTTGAATTTATAGCGCAACAAAAAAAACACCTGTTGAATGAGAATCACTACATATAATTTGATAAAAATTTGTGCAAATATCATAGATTATCCAGGTCATATTTTAAAAATCCGGAAAATCATTAGGGTAAAATATGCAGAAAAAATCTGGAATATATTTTCCCTTATATTTCTCTTAATTTTGGTTTTGGCTGATTTTGTCTTTAATTTTTTTTTAACTTTTTTTAATTTTTGTAAGAGTGATGAGTGAAAAAGCCTATAAAATAAATATATTACAAAAATATCTTCCTAAACTTGTATGTATGGAAAACATTTTTGATATCCGGAAAAACTAAAAGTTGAGAAAAATATCCAGAATTCTGGAAATATCCGGAAAAAGATAATCCCTGAAATATAGCATACGGACAAACTTTTGATAATATTTCAGTCGGATTGGTGAAAGATTTATGGCAGTTTTAGTTTATACTTTGTTAGTTTTTTGCTACTAAGACCTCAAAATATTTCTAATTACTGTCATATAAAATCATTATTTTCAAAAGAAAGGTTACATGAGTGTTCGAGTATGTAACATCAACACTTTTTATTATATTTGATTTATTGCTACGTTTACCATTTTTATTCTATAGACAAAAATATTGATTTTCTATTTTAAGTGTGGTTTGAAATGGCATGCATAAATATTTCAATATTTCATGAAGTAAAAACTGCCAAAACGCAAAAAAAAAAACTGCTAAAAAAAGTGCAAAACATGGCAATAGGAATATTGGTTATTAAAAAAATAAAAATCTTTACTGTTAAAAGAATTTTTATTGACCCTTGAAACCTTCTTAAATACATTGAATTTCAAAATGAAGTGAAAAAATAACTATATAAACCCTTTTTTTTACATTATGTTACCATCAAGTAACATTATTAATTAAAATTGTAAGACATGGTCTTTTATTTTCTCTACAAAAAATTTATTTAAAATGCAATATTAAAATTCATTGTTACTAACAGCAGTTATGTTCATTTTCAATTATAAACCCTAAACTATGATTTTCAACTGGCTTATCTAATAAATTGAATTATGGTAGCAGTTCTTTAAAGATTCTTACTGTTCAGATCAGTTATGCAGCATAACAATCTTTCTATGTACTCTGGATGATTGTTTCGTTTATACCTTGACCAATGTTTATAAAAGTCTTGCAGAGCAGTTTTGACAGTTTGTTTACTATAGGGCCCTAAGTAAGATCCTTTGCAACTGATGAAATCTCTGTTATGGTAGAAGACGGTATGAATTTTGGGTATTATGCTTGCACCAGTTATCATTAAATAACACCTTTTGAAATTA